CCTCGAGGGCGCTGGGCGCAATTTGGTTTGCGCTGGGCGCGAGACCAAGGGAGGTCTCTGCCTGGCCTGCGCTGGGCGTAATCGGGTATTGCGCCAGGCGCGAGAGAGCTTTGGACTCTCTGACTAAGTCTCGCCGGGCGCAGGCACGCTTGCGCCGGGCGCGCTGGCCCCTGGAGCCCTCTGGTTGTGCCACGCCAGGCGCGACCATGAGTGCGCCGGGCGCGTATGAGGATGTGAAGTTATATGCTGAATTGCTGATAATATTGTTTTATGCTGAACTAAGCCGAAATTGAGGAATATGATGGGATGACTAGCTGAAATTGCTGTTTGAGGATGTTGAGCTGTGTTAGGTGTATATTGCTGTAAGATGCTTAGAAGTGTTGTAAGACGATAGGCTGTACTATTAAGCTGAGCTGTGCTGAATGTTGTTTATGCTGATTAATGTTGCCAATGCCGTGTGATGAAAAGTTGTGTTGTGCGGTATGTTGTTAATGATGTAACGCTGAGTTGTGATATGTGATGCTAATGCTAAACTTTATTGTTTGAGTCGAGCTGAATTATATGCTGATAGTTGTTGAATTATGCTGTAATTGCTGAGTTGAGATGTAATTGATAAATATGTTGTGCTGACTAGATGTAAATGCTGAAAAATGATGTTAAGCTGTAATAGATGTATCTCGCTATGCTGAGCTGGGCTGTTATTGATGATTTTAAATGCTGATTTATAATATGGTTGTGCTCTAGAATGATGAGCCGAGTTGTGAGTAGTAAGCTGTGTTGAATACTACTTAGCTGTGCCGCATGCTGATTTTGGTGTTGTGCTGTGCTGTGAGCTGTTTTGCTGTGCTGTTTATTGCTGAGCGGTATGCTGTGTTTAGCCACTATTGTGGTGCTGTTATAGCCGCTAAGTCGGTGCTGTTAGCCACTATTGTGGTGCTGTTATAGCTGCTAAGTCGGTGCTGTGCTCCATGCTGATAGGAGCTGTTGTAGGCCGTAAGGCTAAGCTGTGGTAGGAGATCTCCGAGCTGATATGCGTGACGACACATTGTGTGTTTACTACTATTTGTCGATGTGTACTGTTGTTTACGGTTGTTATTGCTAATTGATGATCGGATAACGGTAGTTATTTACTATTCCTAAATTTATATATTTGTATGTTGTTTCTTTTCACTAGCTTACCCTTGTTGTTTCCATGTGGTTTGGACTGCGATGATCATACTACGTATAGGAGCAGAGCAGGGATAGGTTGGTGGCTTACGGCAGGTCTGCAGCTGGCAGATAGAGCTTGATTCTTGTGGATGTTTTGGTGTTTTAGCTACTAGGTGTAGTAGCGATTGATGTATTTTGTACATTTGAATCTAGTCAGACTTGGGTCATGTATATATGTATATTCTAGACACTATATATATACACTTGTTCCTTTCTGTCCGGTTTTCAGGTGTACTGTGTAGTATGTAGTGACCAGCCGGGTCATTACAAGTTTAGAAAAAAAAATGATAAGAACAATAAAAATAAATCTTTATTTGATTTTTTCTTCTTCTGAATTACATGGTATTTTAATATACATGAAAATAAAACCAATATATATATGTACCAAAAAATTAATAAATAAGTGTGATTTAAAATAAATAAATGATTGATATTGTTTTATCATAGTAATTTAATCTCAATGTAATATAAGAGACTTACAAAAGAAAAACTAATTAAGATAAAATTGCAATTAATTAAGATAAAATTGCAATCAAGGTGTTTATTTGTAAAAATGATAAAGTTTAAGGATAAACTATAATAAAATTAAATTTTATGGTGTTTATTTGCTAATAAAATAAAGTTTAAGGATCAATTAGAATGAACTTAAAATTTGTGGTGTCTATCTGTAAAAGGAGTGAAGTTTAAGAGGGTTAAATATTTTTTTCCAAATAATTATTTACATTTAGAAATTTAGTTGTACAAATAATTATATTTAAATTAAATTTATTTATATTTTTTTATAAAATAATTTATTCTCTTTTATATACTATTTATTATGAAGATAATGATATAATTTTTCAAAAAAAAATGTTTATTTTTATTTTGTAGTTTCTGTTGTGGATATAATTCATTTTTTTTAGATAAAATATTTAAGAATCATTGATTTATTTTTAAGATTTTTTATAATATGTTGTTCCTATTTTTAAAGTTATAAATGATTACCCTTGATTTTATTAGAATGTTAAATATTGACTTTATTATATTTTTTATAATTATTAAAATTAAAGATAATTTGTTATTAATCTTTGCAAATGGAAAAAGTTTATAAATATTATATAAGTAATTGATAACTTGATCTTTTAAAAAAAACATACCAATAATTATTCTTTCTATCTAACACTATTTTCATATGAATTTTCTTTCTAATTTTTTTTCTCGTAATGTGCTTATCATTATTTTTCTCTTATGTGATTTTGGTTTTAAATATGCAATTCTCCCACTTAATTTATTTTGTAAATCTTGAAAGTATCCTACCTTTAATACACATTTTAATAATAATAAACTTTTAGTTTCAAGTTTTAATAAAGAAGAGTTCTTGTGTGAAGTACTAATAAATATGTTTAAATGTTTCATATTTATTTTGTTCATTATTCAGAAGCTTAAAAAGTGTTACAATTCAAAAGTCTACTTGAGTCGTTATGTAGCACCATGATCTTAGCTATTTTGATGAGCACACAATGATTACTGATCAAAGGAGTTTAAAGAAGTTCAAGATGAACATTTTCTCTCGGGAAAAATGCCTTGAAGACCTAGTTTAGAAGTCTAGTTCTTTGAACCATTCATTAGAAAGCTTAAGTTAAAACTTAATTTATTAGAAGATTGATATTGAAGATTCTACTTAGAAGGTTTAAAGAGAATGTTGCTTAAAAGGTAACAACTTCTAAAGAAAAAGTTGACAGCGTTAGAAAAGGAAAGTACAGCTGATGTTAGCACAACTTAAAAACTAAGCTAACCTCAATGAACTAATTTTGAAGGTTATAAAAGGATGACCTAGGCCACTTTTTTAAAGAAAGCAAGACTAAAGAGTGAAATCAAAACACAAGCTATCAGAGTTGTGATCTTGCTTCATACTCTATGTTTCAGATAACTTTACTTTTACACTTATGTCAATCTTGTTATTGATAAACAAAGTATGGATCTTCCTTAGTGGAAGCTGTAGTTAGGAGAAAATGTTGTAACCTTAATAGAGAGCTAGGATATACAAATTCATTTCTATAAAGAGCCTTTCCTACCCAGATTTGAGTTGTAGAGGTGTAGGAAGGAAAGAAAAGAAGTCAACAAGGTGGTTGTGAGGTTTGGTATCTCAATAGGTTATTGAAGGAGAAATTTCATCATGTGGTTGCATAGTGCAGAATCTATATTAGTAGGTTACTAATATTGTAGCTTGAACAATAGTAGCTATGATAGTAAAAAAAATCTCACAAGATTGTATGAAGATTGAATGTAGCCCAATTTGAATGAACTAGTATAAAACTCAATGTGCAATCTCTTTAACTTTATTCTCTTAATTGTTGTACTTGTTTTATTGTTTTAAATATATTACTGCATAATTTGATATTAAAATTGAACTATTCATAAGGTGTTTTTATAATATAATTAAGTTTATAAACACTGAGAATGTTACCTTCTAAATGATAGATATTTTTAAAGAACACAAAAATATAACTCCATTTTTATAGCTTAACATTCAGTTCAAAAATAAATCGAGTATTAAGTTGACCATATATCTATTGAAATTTGTTTTGACAACATTGATCATGGCTAATACACAACATTCTTTTTCTCTTTACTAATTTAAAATCAAATTCCTATTATTGAATTCTATTATATATATATATATATATATATATATATATATGGTAAAGATTATATAATAATTATAATTTTAAAGCATAATTAATGAAACACTTTGTAAAACTTATAAATAATGTATATACCCATTTTTATTATAAAATCATTATGATTATTAGCGATATGTGAAACTAACGATTAACATTTATGTTTAGTTTATTTTTTATATAAATATGTTTTCTATTGTATATTATTAAATTATTTATAAAAATCAAAATTATAAATATTCAATATAAAATTTATACTTATATTTTACATATTTATTTAATAAAATTTAAAATTATCCCCCTAAATATAACATCTCAACTCTTTTGGCTCTAATTTCAAAATTTATGATTAATAACTAATTTATGTTTATAAAATGTGTACATTCTAACCTTATAAGGTAAATAATGAAAAGTAACTTATAAAAAAAAATGATGCCATTAGGTTAATTCTTAGATAACTATTTAATTAAAATAATATTTTGACCTGATTACTGTCACTCTTAATTAATTGACTTGTACTTTTTAAATTTGACTTTCAAGGAATAAGGGTATCTTAAAACATTTTTAAAATTGGTTCTTGAGAGTTTTAAAGTAATTAATAAATTGTTACATTACCGTTTTAATTTTTTATTATAATAAAATGTAGTAAAATTTTAAATCTAAAAATTAAAAACATTTAGTAACAAATATTTAAGGTTAAATTAATTTTTTGGTCACTCAATTTATTTATTTTATTCCATTTAATCTCTTATTAAAATATTCAATTTGATCAAATTTCTAAAATAATGTAATGTTATCATTTCTATCTTATTAAGACTAATGACATTAAAATTTTGTACATATACATGTGATAAAATTAACGTTTTTAATCTTAATTAAATAAAAAAAAATTACACTGCATGGTTTTAGAAAAGTAAAGAATTAAATTTAATAAATTAGATAAAATAAGACAAAAAAATAAGCAATTTAATCTATCTAAAAGATAACAGTGTAATCATCATGAGATCATTTAAAGATAAATTTGAACCAAAATGGTAAGGGTTACAAGAGACTTTGCGATCTTCACTGTTGCTGTTGTAATCTTTTGAACCATAAATTTCAACACTTACCCGTAAATTTAGCTCAAAAATAAAAAATTCAAGAAACAGATTCTATTCTTTAATTTTATTGAACAAATAGAGATGGAATAGGCGTGTATGGCGGGGAGATCAAATATCTGCATTCTTCTGCAGAATCAACACCAAGCCCCCTAACCTAATAAAGAAAAAGAGCATGGAAAATTGGGGCTATAACTATATAACAATGTACAAGGGAGGAATAAGTACAAATTGGGAACTCAGCCTAAATCCACAAAAATGCTAAATTACAAATTACAAAGGGATATTTCTAAGATTAATAATAATGTTAAAGGTAACACAGCCACACAACGAGGGGCTATAGCTAGCATGATGCTGGTTGAAGTTGCTTAAGCCTTCTCACAACCTGTTTCATTGTAGGTCTGGTAGAGAGAGAGTCTACAGTACACACAACTGCCAAGTGAAGCACTTCCACCAAATCATCTCCAGGTCCTGCTTCCCACAACCCAGCAGTGAAAAACTCCTTTGCCCTCCCTTGCTTCAGCAGCATGCATGCCCATGCCACTATGTTGAAGCCATTTCCATAAGAACAAAATGAAGGGTCCAGTGCCTTCTTGTCTGAGAGCAACTCTAGAAGCACCACTCCATAGCTATACACATCAGCCTTGTCAGAAACGCGGCACGTCATGGCATATTCCGGAGCGACGTACCCAAATGTTCCAGCTACACCAGTGGTAGCATGTGTCTCTGAAGTTCCCAGAAGTCTAGCCAAACCAAAGTCGGATAGATAAGCATTGAAATCATCATCCAGCAAGATGTTGCTGGGCTTGACATCGCGATGAAGAACACGAGGAACACACTGATCATGCAGATATGCGAGTGCGCGGGCTATGTCCAAGGCAATCTTGTGAAGAATTCTCCAATCCACAGCTCTTGTGGACCTCTCCTGGATGAACTTTTCAAGATTACCACCTGGCAAATAATTGTATATGAGAAACATCTCTGTCTCACAAGCATGATAACCAATGAGAGTGACGAGATTCGGATGATGAAGCCTCCCAAGGGTTTTAATCTCTGCATGGAATTGTTGAACACCTTGGAAACGTCCAACAGCCAGACGTTTCACTGCCACCAGGATTCCTGGGGATATCTCTGCCTTATATGTTGCCCCAAAACCTCCATTCCCAATACAGTTGCCAGCATTGAAATTTCCTGTGGCTTGGACAACAGTTTCAAACGTCAATGGGACCCCAATATCAGTAAACACTGTAACTTCTTTTCTAGTAGAACCAACAACCCGGGACCTAGGCTTCCACTTCCGTGTGTAAAAGAATAGAACAATAAGGGCTATAAGAACCGAAACAATGGCCGAAGCAGAAGTTATGGAAGCTATTTCAATAGAACTAAAGCCATTCCCACTCTTTTTGCCAGTAGCTGGTGCTGCTGCTGTATTATAAGAGTTGTCATCAATCGACCCTAGTTGCCCTGATGGCACAGTCAGAGAAACTCCACGGCAGGGACTTAGTAACGGATTCCCAACAGCACTGCTGCACTTAATCAAGCTACTATGCGAAGGCAAGGACCCAGATAAGTTGTTGAAAGACACATTGAATGCTGAGAGTGTAGTGACATTTGCCAACCCACCAGGAATGTGTCCAGAAAGATTGTTGTTATTGAGCAAAACATCGGTCAGATTTCTCATGTTCTCAACAGCCTCTGGAATCTCACCAGTAAGAGAGTTCGAAGAAAGGTCCAAGACTTCCAAAGAGTACAACTGCCCCAGGCTGGTAGGAATTGAGCCATTTAACTTGTTACCAGCTAAAGAAAGAAACTTCAGATTCTTCATCTGGCCAAGGGTGGCGGGAATCTGGCCTTGTAACTGATTCCTACTGAGGTTCAGAGATACGAGAGAGACCAAATTACCTAAATCATGGGGAATCTGTCCTCCAAGTTGATTGCCAGACGCGTACAAAAATTTTAATGATCTGCATATTCCACCAAAATTTGAAGGAATTTGACCAGATATCCTATTATAACTAACATTTAAAAGCAATGCATTTAATCCATCACATTTCTCAAATAAATATGTAGGAAATGGGCCTGCAAGGTTATTTTCTCCCACAAGAAGTGTGTAACTGCTCTTCTTCCACAGCCTGTCACGTGCTATTGGCAATGACTGAATGCCAGTAAAACCGTTTTGCCCAAAGTTGTGAACAACAGAAATACCAGCTCCCCCTATTGATGTGAAAAGCGATCTCTCACGAACCTTCGACAAAAAAAAGGATGCATACGGAGGGGAAACGCTGTCAGCTTTAAACAGATTTCCATTCCAGGAAGGAACAGGGGCACAAATGTTGTCGGTGAAATCAGGAACAGAACCAGACAACATGTTCCCACTAACATCAAACACAGTCATACAGGGAACATGAAGCTCTTCAGAAAGCTCCCCGGTAAGGTTATTCGAGCTCAAATCAAGAAAATGCAGCCTCTTGCAGATACTAAGCTGGTTCGGAAACTCCCCACTGAAAAAATTCTGAGCCAAATTGACCATCTCCAAGCTCTCACACCCACCTCCCCAACTCCCCCGAAAATCGCCTTCCAAATTCACCATGGGAGCCCACAATATCCTCAACTTCGGAAGGGCCAAAACCTCCACAGGCATTGCCCCTTCAAAATAATTCAACTCGTCATTCACACCAACCATTCTCCCCACAACATCTCCGCGCGGATCAAACAAATTTGACAGCACAAGAACAGCCAACTCCGAGCAATTCCCAAGCTCCCTCGGCACGAAACCACTGAGAGTGTTCCTGGAAACATCCAACACCTCAAGACTCCTAAGCTTCCCAAGCTCAACCGGAATACCCTCTTCCAACAAATTGGAATACAACAAAAGCGTCCTCAACCTCCCACAATTCCCCAAACTCCCCGGAATCTTCTCAACCATGGAATTCCCAGACAAATCCAAATGTTCAAGCTTCCAACAATTCTCCCCAATCTCACGCGGAATAGCCCCACTAAGCTGGTTAAACGACAGATACACCCCTCTAAGCCTCCCAACAAAACCAGGCACAGAACCATTCAAGGCATTACCAGCCAAATTCAAAACCTCCAAACTCTCAAGAGATTCAATCGAGCTCGGAATCTCCCCAACAATTTCGTTAAACCCGAGATTCAGAACCCTCAAATTCCTCAACCCGCTGATTCGAAAAGGAAGATAGCCACTTATCAAATTCCCTTCTAAATCGAGAACCTCTAGCTTCTCCATGCCCCAAATTCCTTCGGGGACCTCACCCTCCAACGCGTTGAACGGGAGAGACAAAACCCTAAGCTCCGTGAGCTCGCTGACGATATTTAAAGAAGAAACGTTCCCGAACAGAGAACCGTTACTACCGTCGCAGATTCTCCGAATCCCGAATCCGTAGAGAGGGAACTGAGCGAAATCAGCGCACGGGTGAGAGGACCGGTTACCGGCACCGTTTCCGGTGAAGTTGACGGCGACGACGCGGGAGTTTCCGTCGCAGAGGACGCCGGACCAGGTGCAGTGACCAGAGTTGCCGGAGTCACCGCCTCCGGTGACGGTCCACGTGGAGAGGAGGCCGGCGGGGTCGGAGACCGAGGACTTGAGGCGGAGGAGCGCGGATTTGTCCGAATCGGGCGAAACGGCGTCGTTTGGGCAGAGGTAGAGGAGGAAGACGAGGAAGAGAAATTGCGCGAGGGAATTCCATTTGATCAATGAACTGCAATGAGAAGAAGAAAACATTTCACAGTGGACGCGAACCAATTGAACGGAGAAACGCTTCCGCCCCGCTTTTGGAGTGGCGTTGAAGAGAAGAAGAAGAAAGGGTTTTTCTGAAAACCCTAATCTTGTGGTGTTGAGGGGAAAAGACGATGGAAATGATGGAGAAGAAGGAGGAGCAAGACTCGACTCAACACTACAGTCTTCTCTTTGCAAAACGCGTTTTTCTCCCTTTCTTTTTTTTGCTTTTGTTTTTTTCGTGTAAGAATGGTTTTTTAAATTTATTTTCCAAAAATATTTGACAGTTCAAATCACACATGTATAATTTTTATTAAATATTACATTATTAAATAATTTTTATTAAGTATAAACATAAATTCTGTAAATTTAAAATATAAATTTTATAAATCTAATTATTCAATTATAATTTCATATAACTTATATATTTATATTAAATTAAAACTTTTAATTTAATAATTAAATTTATAAAATTATTAAATGATATAATATTTAATAAAATTTATACTAATATTATTTAAACTTTCTTTATATATATATATATATATAGTTAACCATACACATATTATAGATAAACTTCACAATGATTCTTACCAATAATATTAAGGTTTTTAATAAACATGCTATTATAGTGGTGGAATAATAATATTAAGACTTTTTAATAAACATGTTATTATTGTGGTGGAACTTAGAGTGCTTAGTTAAGGACTTAAGTTTAATTTTTATTATATTATTTTAATTTTTTTCAAAGAAACATAATAATTTAATAAACTTAGACTAATGAACATGAAAATAAATCTGTATGACATTATTTTATTTTAATTAATGATATTAAATTTCAATTTTTTTAAATATATAATTATATGATTGACGTGAAGATTATTGGAATTAAAGATGAAGTTCTTAAAAAATGGCTTGTCCGTGGTTGAAGTTTGAAGGAATGATTAAGGAGTTTTGATTTGGAAATTGGGATTACAGCACAGGACATGGGCATTGTCAAGTGGGGACCGCACGTAGTCAAGAAACAAGGAACGGAAACCACATGATACATAATTCTAACATGGTTGGCGTTGTTTGTCTGTACTGGAAAGTAGGTCGTTAATAATAATAAAGGATAATTTAATTATTTTTTTAATCTATCAAAATTACATTAATAATAATAAAATATTAAAATTTGAACATAAAATTTTGTCTCAATCTCCTATTACTAAGTTTAACTCTAATAATTTATTCATGATTTAATATATATATATATAATCCTTACACCTAGTAAATCATGTAAATATACCAATAAATCAAGATAAACTATTGATCTATTGGTATATTTGCATGATTTACTAGGTGTAAGGATTATATATATATATATTAAATCATGAATAAATTATTAGAGTTAAACTTAGTAATAGGAGATTGAGACAAAATTTTATGTTCAAATTTTAATATTTTATTATTATTAATGTAATTTTGATAGATTAAAAAAATAATTAAATTATCCTTTATTATTATTAACGACCTACTTTCCAGTACAGACAAACAACGCCAACCATGTTAGAATTATGTATCATGTGGTTTCCGTTCCTTGTTTCTTGACTACGTGCGGTCCCCACTTGACAATGCCCATGTCCTGTGCTGTAATCCCAATTTCCAAATCAAAACTCCTTAATCATTCCTTCAAACTTCAACCACGGACAAGCCATTTTTTAAGAACTTATTATTTTAATAAAAATAATTTACAGATATTTCTTATAAATCTTTTTATGAAAAATAATCTACAAGAAATTTTTGTAAATTTTGCTACAATTTTAATGATCATAGAAAAAAATTTCCATGGTCAAAATTTACAGGAAATATTGTAAGAATTTTATTTTTTTTCTTGCAAATTTTCTTGCAAAAATAAATTTGCAAGTAATGTTTACTAAATGGTAGAAAAATTTTGCAGGTAACTTTTCCTGCGGATTTTCCTATCAATTTTAATCTGCAAGAAAAATCAAAAAAAATATTTAAATTTATAAGTTTAATTTTTAAAAAAACTTCAAGTTTCACATCAATTGAAAATAAAACAATTAAAGAATACATAAGTTGGGGCAACACTTATCTTATAAGTTGATTTGTATGGTTAAGTGTTAGGCTTATAATCTACAATCTTAGAATTTAAAAGATTATATATCACATGTTGGGGCGTGAAAACAAATGCTTCAGATAAATTCATTGTGATCATTAATGATTTCTTTAATTTTTTTCGTAAAAAATATTCTTGCAGGAAACTTTTCTGCGGTTTTTTTTGCAGGAAACCTACCTGCGATTTTTTTTGCAAGAAATTTCGCTGGAAAATTTCTTACAAATTTTAAAATTCGCAAAAACATATTATCCACGAAGTTATTACCTATAGATAAAATTTCACAAAAAAATTTGTAGGAACAACGTTTCCTGCAAATTTTTATGAAAAATTCGCAAGAAAAATCGCATGTAATAAAAAAAATTATAGTAGTGTTAATTCATAATTAATATCAATGATTTGGTAACTCAATTTAAAAATGTTGATTTTAAAATTTTTTTTAATGTAGTTCAATTTAGTTTATAGTTAATAATAGTTTTATTTAGTTGATATTATAGTTTAGTTCAAACTCCTAGAACTATAGTGCACTAAAGTAGATAATAGTTTAGTTTAGTTTAGTCAATATTTATTTTAGTTCAATTTAGTTTGATGAACTATTTATTATAGTTTAGTTTAGTTTTCTTCTAGTTTAGTTCAATTTAGCAATTTGAACACCCCTAACTGGTACTAGTTAAGCACTACCAACTACTTAATCCTAAGTTAGTCCGACATCAAGACCAAAATCCAATACATCCACAATGGTTACAGCAACTTCAACCTAACCATGATCTGCTCCCACACATAGTATAATCATCGTAGTCCATCTACATGAAAACAGAATGGTAAGTTAGAGTTCAATAAACAATCATACAAGCATAATGATCCACATCTATGCTACACAATCATCAAATCACCAATCATTTTTATAAAGTCAAACCATGCACTCTATCATACAACAATCATGCAATAAAGTAACACATGAAAGATATCAATGCATATTTATCATCTAATGTGTCGTCATGCATTCACCTAGGAGATCCCCCCTAACAACAAAGTAGTATAAGTGACATCTCATCCTACAGAAATCACCTCAGCCATTTTTATGCCTAAAGCGTCCTGTTGGATCAACAGCAAATCGAGATATCAAATATCCCTAGGTGTTTACTTGAATAGTGTCACTTACACACTTGGAAGTCCGATTCCACCATCTGGAATAGTACAACTAGGTATAGGCTTACCACGACTTTGGCATGCATTACCAAGTCACTTCTGGATTTTGCCCACCGCTTATCTGCTAGGAACCAAGCAACCTTCCCCAATACTTGGTTAAGGGAATAACCCTCAACCTCATACCCTGCTCCAACACTAGCTAAGGACTTAGAGGAGACTCACCCAAACTAGTAGCTTATCCAAGCACCACTCTCACCGAAAACCAGTGGCCTATCCAAGCACCACTCTCATCCAAACTAGTGGCCTATCCAAGCACCACTCTCAATAGACTCTATGTGAGCTCTTCTAATTCAAAAACATATTTCCTTCTCCTTAAATCCTAGGCTAGACACATGCCTTAAGGCATCACATGCAACCAATGCATCATACGTCATACATGATCCATCCACCATTATGATCAATATCATGCTCATATAGACATACATACATATCAAATCATGTTTAAACATTCATATATATCATTCTAAGCATACATATTAATCAATCAACATTTTGCATCATATATCATGTACATGAACTAATATTAAACATCAAAACATGCAAAAGCATCACAACTCAATCACAACAACAAAATGCAATTCACGCCCGACAAATCTCAGCTCGTGCTCGACCTAAACTCAACCTGAGAGTTTTAGGGCTCTCTAACACCCAACGTTAGGGTACCATGCCCAATGTAAGTCTGGAAGAGACTCACCTAAGAAATCACACCTAACGCAACTTACCTTACACTCGACATCACGAAGTCAAAGATTCCCTAGGGCATTCATGCCTGGTGCAACCAGCCTTGCACCCAACATCATATCAATAAAAATCCATCCATGTCACTATCTGATATCGCCCTCGACATGACCTTCTTTACGCTTGGTGTGATCGTGAAATGGCTACCCCTAATGAATGCCCACCCGACATCATGAAGGTGCGCCCAAAGTAAATTCATATATTAGCACTCTAACCTCAGAAATTCAAGCACAAACCTGCAATCTCAGTAAATCAATCACATGTAATCCATCCAAAACAACCAACAGACCTCATACAATCCAAAAACACTCTCAGATTCAACATGCACTCATCCAGTGCATGAAAATCACTACAAACCCCGAAAATGGCCCAAAACCCCAAAAGTGCTAAATCCCCTTGATTCAACAATTTCTTCCACAAATCACGCATCCATTGAGTTTCTAAACTCACATGCAACAAATTAAACAACATCCTAGCTTCCGTCACCTAAAGATTAACCTAGAATAGCCAAGAAGAGGAAGAAGGAGAAGAAAATCCTGAAACTCGACTTACAGACTTCAACTAGCTAAATTCAAGCTTCCTAGCCTGAATTCAAAGAAAAGATAAAAGAGGTTAGTGATCTAGAGAATAAGAGGTATCAAACAAAGAAATTTGTGAGAGAAAGGAGTTCACAAACCCATAGCCCTTCTCTCTAAAACTTCTCTCTAAGTTTTCCTAAGAATGAGCGTATGAGCTCTATTCTCAAAGAAAATCTTATATACTCTTCCTTTTAACTTTCACTGAACCCTAAACAATTAACTTATAACGTACAGTGTTACATATATATATATATAT